CCCGCGGGCCTGGGCCTGGGCACCAGAGCTCAGCAGCTTTCGGTAATTGTAACCTGGGAATCCCCAGCTGCAGCCCTGAGTGGGTATCGGTGTCTGGCCACGTCTCTGGTACGGGCTGAAGTACCTGGTGGGTCTTACTCTCCAGTAATAAGATGATAAAAACTGCCCGGGTCCTGTGGAAAGCCCCGGCTATAGGGACCAGTGTGCGTTTGGATCCGTGGGAATGTTGTCCGGGGTCATCCCCCAGCAGCAGGACAGAGCAGCAAGGGCACCCCATGAGCCCGGGGAGGCAACGCCAGCACCCCTTTTCCTTCCTCCCCCTCGCTGACTGCTTCCTCCTGCTTTGTCTTTCTCTTCTCCTAGCTGGGAATGCGAAAAGCAGAATTACACAGCGTTCAACCAGTCCACAAAGATAAACTGGTGAGTCGAGAGTTGTTCCAGTGCTGGGGTCCGGCTCTGCCAGGATGCGGGAATGCTGTGATGGATGTGCCTGGTGCTGGCAGCTGCCCTCGACCATGGTCACGGGGCTGCTCGAGGGATGCGGAGCAGCATCCCTGGATCAAATCGATTGACAAGTGCCTCTGGCTGCACCCTTGGGAATGGCTTATTCCCGGTCCAGAGGCTACTACTTGAACAAACTGGGCCAGAAGGAACACCAGTACCAGTCCTGTGCTGGATCCTGCATCGGTGACGGCCTCGGTGGGGGGTAAGGGCTTGTTGGGCTGCGGGTTAGATCCGTTGTGGATTTTCTTTGCAGGTCACACATCTTCTGGGTGGATAGGAAGATGCCGCTGTGGGCTGTGCAGGTGAGTGCCCAGACCTCGGGCATGGTGGTGCGGGAGCTGGGGTCTGAGCTCTGCCGCCAGCGAGTCTGCGTGCATCCTCTGCCCGCAGCCTCGTGAGGGGCACGGGCTCTCATGGGCGAGCAGAGAGTGAGCTGGGGCTTCTGCTGGGAGCAACAACATGGCCCTGGGTGAAAATCCCAGGGACTGATAGGAGAGAAGAGGCTGTAGGAAGATAAAATCATGAGGCTGGCTCAGGTCCCCCCCAGCCTGGATGCAGCTGTACCAGTAACCGGCTGTTTGCAGGGCGGGCAGCTGCCGGAGGAATTGCCTGCCGGAGGGTTGGGCATCCGTCGGGGTC